TTTGATCTTTCTGCGGCCTCTGGCAGAGTTTAGAAACAAAAAATCATTGAAGTTTTGCATTCCTTAGGTACATCAAGTAATATCCTACTGTGCATCAACGATTTCCTAACAGATTGCAGTGAGGGTTAATGGAAAGTTCTCTAGGACACATAGATCTTGGGCAGGCGTTCCTACGGGATCAGTCCTTACCCTAGTCTTTTTTTTCTTCTCTATATGAACACTGTCGATGATCCCATTGTTAATCCGTTCATTAACATGATCATACATAAGTGATCACGTGTTTTTCCGCCCACGGTATCATATATGTGATTGGGCTTTTCCTGCTCATAGGCCCATGATCACACAAGTGTAATCAGAATTAGGAACATTTTTATATTAATTTTTACACGCACACTAGATGGTGGTGAAAAACTGTTTTTTTCTTTTGAATAACATTTCACTAAACTTTGAACTTGAATATGTTCCATGTTTTTTCTATCCCATCCGAGATATTTATGAATATAAACAACTGCACACATGTTTAGATTTTTCGAGGGAATCGGACATTTAAAGGTTGGGGATCTATTGCTCTATGGATTCCTGCTTACGTTTTGAATAAATTGGTTTAGTTTTCTAATATTTTTCATATCCGTATGCAAATATATGGGATTTTTGTCAATTTTTGTAAAGTGTATGTATTATTAAAATGAAAACATTTTTTTTTTAAATTCACAACTGTTTTTTTTTTAAATATAGCGAAAACTTTTGTACTCTATACTCATATATTATCAATGATGGTAAATTGTAAGTTTTAGCGTATTTGATTGCATTTAAAACTTTATATGAATTTTTAAATGAAATGAGGCTTAGCAGGGAAATTGCGTGCGTCTCCTCTCCTAGCGTACGGGCCTGGGGAAGCGCCTGGTCCTGAAGGGGTCAATGAAGCTAAAACAGCCTGACGACATGGCACTCACGCATTGACATCCCAAAGTGGACTGAACGAAATTCTATCTCGCATTGAAGACTGGGCTAAGCAAATCCAGCACATACCGTGTATTTTCTACTGGCAGGGCAGCCTTTCTTCCCGAATTAGGGTTTAATAACTCAATTATTGAAAACTCTCCCATCCCAAATACCTCGACTTAACACTAGATACGGAATTGAGGTTTTCCAAGCATATGAAGAATATAGCGCAAAAGGCTTTAAAGAAGCTCAATGTTCTTCGAAAACTTTGCGGTTCGACTTGGGTTCCAAACCAAAACCTATTCTAAACATCTACACTGCACTTATAAGACCAATCCTTGAATATGCAGCACCCATTTGGTCTTCTTCAGCTTCCATCTCAACAGAGAAAATAGACTCTATTCAGCACAGGGCGTCCAAAATTATCATTGGAGCTGTGTGTTCGACAAATAATGTGACAGCTGAGAAGAAGTGTGGCTTAACATCATCGAAGGCCAGAAATAAACTTGGCACTATTAAATTTATAAACAAAATAAGCTGCGTTGGACAACATATCTCCAACATTACTTTTCGCTCTTGGACAGCTAAAAATAGGCTGAGGAGATCTTCAACATTTCATTTTGATAAAGACATAAGAATCGACATTAACTTGAATCACACAAGCCTTGACATCATTAAAGAACCTTGTTTTCCAGTCTAACCACCTTCCTATGCCAAAATAATATTGAACCTTGAACGAAAAAGGAACCTAAGTACACAATTAAAAGAAAAGGCATGGACAAAATTATCTGCCTTATAGCAATTAGGACAGCCCTAGAAATTTACCTTACACAGGCAAATATTGCTAATTCTGACGGCATCATTGTGCTCTCGGATTGTAGATCTGCTCTTGAGGCTATCAAGGAAGGGAAAATGGGGCTCACCTAAGAAATCTATTCGCTTATGTTCTTCATTGGTGCATTTGGAAAATCATGCACCCTCCAGTGGATCCCTGCCCCTGTTGACATCGAAGGGAACGAGATGGCCGATTCCCTTGCCAATCAAGCCAGAACACTTGAGTCTTTAACTTCATCTACTACGGTCTTTGATGCCAACGCATTAGCAAACAAAAGCTTTACTCAAACCCAAGAAAATAATTATCGCTGCCAGAATTAAATTATAGTGGAGAAATTACGTCAATAATAACTAGACTAAGGACAAAGCCTTTTAAGGTTATGAAGATTTTGTCCGATGGTTCCAGATTATATGTGAAATTCAGGCACGCAACTGGATCCCAAACACCTTTTTAGCTGTCCTTCAATTGTTGGTGTCCTTTTTAAAATAGACAATGACTGCAACATGGACATTCTTTACAATTTACGCCTTTGAAAAATCTGACTATATCGTTGTTTTATTATTACAATATGTGCACTTTGTCATACACAACAACAAAAATCTAATATTACACATACGGTGAAAAAATGAGCTTGCAAAAAATATTCCAGGAATTTTTTAAATTTATCTAGAATTTAATTATAGTAATATCTCCCGATGATTAAAATATTGGATTCTTCAAGGCTTTTTCTGAAATTCCCTTGTGAAAAATTTTAATATTTTATAAGAACAAATCAGTGGAAATAGAATAACCCACCTACAGAGAGATTACCAATTATATTTTAAAGATCTAAAACGAATTGGAATTCAGTAAATTAAATCCGAATGCACCTACGCGAGATAATGCAATTAAGCATGATAGCTATTATATTCTGTGTAGAATAAGTTATTTATAAATTGTGTGTGATAACATAATCTTCACGGCATATTAGACATCATATATATTACTTTATATATATTTATGTAAACATCAAGCCATACATATGGAATGATTGTTTATTTAGTCCCATTGAGTACTCAATTAATGCATATTGCTTACAGCATTGTTGACGGATTGCAGACAGATAGGTGTAGGGATATTTTGATTGTCCACTATTAGAATAGAATTGAATTGATTAAATGACGTGTCTTGTGGTCTCTAACTACACTATCCCACGAATAATTATTGATATTGTTTAACTAAGATTAGTTTTGATTCAAAAATTATTTCTGGCAATAACAATTATCAATATTCAGAAAAGGCAGTTTTATGTTACAATTTAAATGGGCTTTTAAAATATATTTTTGTTGAACAAAACAAAGAAGTATTTAAGCAGCATAAACAAAAGGGTGCAATAATTTATAAAATATGTATTTGATTGATTAAGGTAACCATTTTTTCTGCAATGAAAAGGAGGACGAAAAATGTAAGAAAGAACTATAACTTAAGTGTATGAAACGTTTTATTAATTCAAACAAAATAACGCTAATTACGTTTACATTCTTTTTATTATTATCTTAAAAGAGTGTTTCCATTCAATGAATTTTTTCTTTGTCAACATATCGTTCTCTAACATATCGGAAAGTTTAGGCAAAAAACATCATTCATACTGAATTCTACGGTAAGCAATGTAGCTAAAATATTAACACTCAATTTTGATTTCACACTAGTTGCTTCACAAAAATTATTATTAAAAACCATCAAAATCAATCAACTGCTGCATTAGTTCCAGGACAGCACAACGTAAATTCAACAAGAACACTTTCATATGGAATGGGCTCATTTTTGAAATGTTTTAAGTAATTTCACACATATTTTACCAACTTCTCAGCATGTTGATTTTCCAATTGTTCTAATTTATTAGAATTCAAATATAATTTCAGTCTTCTTTCTACTTAAGCAGGCAATTGTTTTCGATTTAAGTATCAAGCATTTCTTTTGATAAAATACTCAGCATAATTTTCTACTTCTGCCCACTTGAGTTGAGACCATGTCAAAAATGCCATTGAAAACTGTTATTTCTTGTGATATTTGTTTCAGACCATTCTTCGACATTTTGGAAGCATGTTTGGTTCAACTCTGAATGCAGACATTAACAGTTCAGTTTTAAAATATTGAAAATGAGGACAAAAAGGAGGACCCTTTACGAGGAAGGACACAACCTATAAAAGGAGTACGGTTGGTCAATGTTACGTCATCAGCGCACTGTAGCGCCATCTGTAAAAAATTTGTAAAAGTAGACATAGTCGAGCTGTACCCCATCAAAAGCGGATGCACGAATAAAGTAGGCTTAGCGTTGCGAAAAAGACTGATTTTTTATTCTTTAACCAGTTTTAGAGTCCACTCAAATATTGACGAAACAGTCACCTTAGATTTATGCGTTATAGTACACAGTTTTAAGTTGAGGATATGGATAGAGAGTGAAAAGATGGATGGAAAAAATGGTATCTATGACCGTGGTAGCCTAGTAGTCAAGGTCACAGACTCGTTAATGGTGTGCTTTGAATAAATCCTGGAACCACTGAATTCCCGCCGTGAAGAGGGGTTTGATGCACTTTAAATCTGAATCAAAGTTCTACCCTTGGCGTGATGTGTGGGAGATCAGAGAGGGGATGATGTCATCCTCGTCACTTAAGGTTCAAATTAACAAGTATGTCGCTAATAGTCCTGCTTTATATATATACATTCACTCCTTCCTTGATGCAGACATTTTAACGTAACTTCTTGCAACAAAATGTTAACATTTAATTGTGTGTAAAGTAATGGTTATTTACATTTGAGTCGCGTTACAATTTATCAGCTATTTTTACTGTCTTTTCCCATACAAATAACAATCTCAGTTTTGGAGAATTCAAACAGATTATCTATTACTTGATTTGAAACTAGGGACAAAAGAAATTGAATTGAATCATTTTGATATTTATCTTTTTCTAATTCCGTTTAAATCGATGTTTTAAGTACATTATTTTTCACGTTACGTCTAGTTTCGGGAAAAAGTACAATTGCTGTTACGTGTTTATTGCTGGGATCCATACGGAAGACGAGAGATAGATGATCAGAAACATATAACACAACCACAGAAGAATACAGAATTTATTACAAACGATGATCCCAGCAAAGAGCAGAAGAGATATGCTGCTTTTCCTCTCGAAACGGGAATCCATTTCAGGCGAAAGTCCGATTTCTTTTCCCGAAGATTCTTATATGCCTTACTTGGGATTTGAACCCGAACCCTCTCGATTACAATTCGAGAGTCATAACCCCCATACTGGGTGGGGCCGCAAAAATACAATTTATACCCCAAAAAGTTATTTAAGTCGGATCGATGGTCTAGAAGGAGCGTGCCCGCCTCGTAAGTCTGAAGTTGCTGGTTCGATCCCGGTTTCATGGAAGCGGTAACCTAGTGGTAGAGGTATCGAATCGTGACTGGCATGTCACGGGTTGGAGCCCATTACTACTAAAGACCCGCCGTGTAGGGGAGCGATGCACGTTAAATCTGTCGAAAGCTCAAACGTCCTCCCGTTGGTGTGGTGTGGTAGTTAGGAGAGGGGGTGCCGGCTTAGGTGTCATCCTCCTCACTTGACCATTATTCGAAATTCCGAGGGCCGTAAAGAAAAGCTTTCGTGTAGCTGAACAGTGTGAAGTTAATATTCACTCACTCGATACCGACTGGAGTTGACGGATTTTTAAGGAGCAAAAATCGTTCGCACATATATCGTATAACTATGTGGCATGTAAAAGATCTTTTGAGTATCAATTTGGCTCTGGTACTTTCTAAAAGATTAAATCATGCATATTTTCTTTCAAAGAGTTTGAATGGAGTAAATTCAAGAGATAAAAAATTGGATGGAGGGGGTCGCCAAAAGATAGTGCCAACCATGAAATGGCTCTTATACTTTGAGACTTGCCGTGTCTGCAATGACTTAGCTGCCAAAATACAACTCATTAGATAAAAAAAATTAGTTTTTACATCCCTAACAATTTATGGCATTCGTATTCCGGTATAGTATCTTATGATTTTACTTCAAAAAGATTGTAGTAATCTTCGTAGCGCAGTGTTTCTCAAACTGTGGAGTGGCTGCGGTAGCCGAGTGGTATGGGTATAGGACCATGGCTTGCCTTGTCACGAGTTCGAGCCCAGTACCACTAAAGACCCGCCGTGTAGGGCAGCGATGCACATTAAATCTGTCGAGGGCTGAAACGTCCTCCCGTTGGTGTGGTGTGGTAGTTAGGAGAGGGGGTGCCAGCTCGGGTGTCGTCCACGTCACTTGACCATGGTTCAAAAGGACGTGGTCCGTCGCCAAAAGCCCTCGTGTAGGTGAACGTTAATATTCAATCAATCAATCAACTCAAACTGTGGAGCGCGCGCCTTTTGACAACTGTCCGAGGGGGAAAGTCGTAAAAAATATTAATTTACTGAATATATATACCCGCAAAATACACTGAAATAATAATTAAAATACACGTTTAATATATTAATGTTACACTTATAAAGGTTGACATATTTTATAATTAATTTAACAATACTAAGTTAATAACAAGTTGAATAATTACCCATGACCACACACACCCCATGGGATTGTCATGTCTAAAATTACGTTCAAAAATGAACACTCATTTTGATCATTTGTACGGTTTATAATTCATCCCTTCACTGCCAATGAAATGTCCGCGCTCCTCAATGCCGCTTAGGCGAGCGTGTGGGATGTAGTGGGGGGGTGACGAAAGGAATAAATAAGCGAAGGCTTCTCGAACACTGTCGAGATCCTTAAGTTACATTCCAAAGCCTTCAGAATAATTTTATGGATAGCAGTTCACAAAGATCGTACTTCGGAAAGACGCACTTATACGTCTGGGGAAATTATCGCTTTGGCTGAGCGAGACGTTTATATACGCCGGTGACACTTCAGAAGTTGGACAGAAGTTTTATCGTGAAAGTCTATTATTATTGAATTCAGTACATTGTTATTGCATGAGGCGGGCGCGATAACAATTATGACTGAATATCGGTCGCGCGAATATCGCAACTTTGAGAAGCTCTGTTGTGCAGACATAAATAATTCTTATTCTTGAAATCCATTTCTCCTTTTTCGCAGCATTTTGTGCGTCGTTCTTTATTAAAGATTTCGGTCGTCCTCCTATAATGAAGCGATAAAAAAAACGTAAAAAGTTCATTGCACTTTAATTCATCGTATTAATCTAAGGGCTTAAAGAAACGTATTTTAATTGTAGAAATATCATAAACTGTTGAAAATAGCCGTTCTCTATCCAGATGGCTCTCAAATTTTGTTTGCTTGGTCTCATTTGTGAACGCTGTTCTTACAAAAACAACCCTGAATCAAATTCCCCGAACGCATTTTAATCTACTTAATAATTTTATGTGATGTAGATGAAAACTGTAAAATAAACACCTGAATGTATTAAAAATAAATTTTAATATTTGTATATATATCACACTTTATTTTATATACATCTATATCCATGTAAAGCTTTTGTTGGAGCTGTCATAAACTTCTTACGTACTCTCGGAACAATGTCAACGTTCGAGATAACTCTCCGTGCTGGCCACCCGATTTCGCATAGGTCATGCGCATTGAATTGGTAACCATTTATACTTCGTTTCACGATGTTGTCAATAGGGTAGCAATAGTACATTATTGTAAGCACTCGCAAAAAATATCGCGATGTTTGCCCGGACTTCAATCACGCCTGAGAAGAAAGGTGTCTTATATTGTATATTGTTGTCTAAGATTTATTTAAAATTAGTGGAACTAAATACTTAATTTGGTGGTATAGTGGTCAGTGAAACTTACTACCGCGCCGTTGGACCTAAGTTGAATCCCAGAAAATGCATGGACGTATATAAATGTGTAGTGTCTTTGAGGCACGGGGGTAAATAGCTTTCGAGCTGCGAGTCCTCTCGTGAGGTTTGGTGAAAGGGAAAGACGCCTGGGAGCACCTGACCACCCCCGGGTTGCTATACATCCAAATTGGGTTGGGACCGAGCAAAATCGTACTGTCACCTGTATGGTGCTCAAAGCTACGGCCGACGAGATGGTTACCGCTCTAGCCCTTCGCCGCATTGAATTTATTTGACCTTGATCTGACGCCTTCAGACAGGGTATTAGGAACAACAAATACTCAACTGTCCAAAATTGACAGGTTTTCCTGAGGTCTTGTCAATGAAATGTTGGACGCTGCACTTTCCATGATGAATTTAACTAAAGAGAGACAAGAACTAATTTTTTCTAGAAAAAAAACAAATAAATACAACTACATAATATTTCTGTAACTAAAACGGGTTTGCAATTTGAGCAACGAGTATGAACAATTGCATAATTTTCACGATGGGGGTTGTCCTACCGTTATGCGCACACACCCCTGGTGTTCTTTTTTAATTGTATTATTAAAATCATCGTATACATAAATGTATTTTGCATTTGAAATTGTGGGCGTGTTTTCTTAGGGATCATGGTCCTCTCTTACTCATGGTAAGCCGGCCAGGGTTTCGAGTCCTGCAAGTATTGGTTCACTGCCTTGAAGCGGGGCTAAAACACTAATTTTATAAAACTAAAACAACTAACTCAATGGCTCAACAGCCCATGATGGTCAAGGCCTACTCTGCCCATCTCAGTGTTCGTAACCTTATGCACCAAGGTGCTTGTACATATGTTTCAGTCAATTGATCAGTCTGGCGCAAAATACCCAGTGTTTAGTGTTCAATCAAGCCTGATACTCACTTTATCATTCCACTGAAGAGATAGATGAACGAGTCGAGACGCCTAGAGCGGGATTTGAGCCGCAGATCTGTGGCGTGGAACCGCGATTATTATTTGTTTTCTAGAAGTCTTGCAATATTGTGTTGTAGGTGATTATTTTCATACATTAGAATTGCGGGTTTCCCAGGTGGTCACGCTCCCACGTACTGTCCATGCTGGAGGATGCTTAACTTCAGTGATCGGGCCAGAACTGGTGCTTTGAGCATACGCAGAAGCGGACTTGGCAAAATGTATGACAGAGAATGGAACATGAGACATACTCTTTTAAGAGCATTTGACAGGAAGATAAGGATCCAAGCTATCCAAAAAATTTCTCCATGAACTTTTATCTATTATTCTCTTGAACTTTTATCTATTACATTAATATGCTCTAATATTTAAGAATCAATGGTCTTATGAATCTTATTTGACGTTATTAAATTGTTGTAATTATTAGCAATACTCTACACCCGGCACGCGCATTAAGTCGTTCGTGGTCGACCGGTGAACTTCCAAGACATTTTTGGATGCCTGCCTTGGGTGGTAAGACCTAAGATGCATATACTTAAGAGACATATTTGTAGAGCACCTATGCCCTCTCTAGACAGGAAGTATTGAGTCTTTTCACAATCCATGCTACTATGTGTAGACGGCATATGTGCCATAACTGGAAGCACACGATAGCGCTTAACACATTCTCTGCCACTACAGGCGAAAAAAACGATCACCGAGATGCCAGCCTTAGAAATAGATTCTTTCACACACTAACTGAAAGGAGAAAAAAATCATTAACCAGCTCTTTCCGCTATCACACGGCTACTCAAATATCATCCCACACCTTGCGCTTCCGAAGAATTGGATTTTTATGTTTACGTTACGTCCAACGATGGCGCAGCGCCCGGCAGTGGACGCGTTAAGTACATGCGTTGGATTCATTGGCTTGCGTTTGTTTGGTACTCGCTGCATTGAAAAAGTCCACAGTCTAGCAGCCGTTCATAGTTGTTTCAATATTCACCTTGAAAATTTTGTGCTGCTTGTCTTTTTGTAGGAAAAATAGTAATCCGTTATATTTGAAAAGAACATATAATTTTGATACAGAGCGTAAGAACAGTTTTTCTTTACAATGTTGAACGCAAAATATGCGTGCTGTATATGTCCTGCAAGTGTGGAATGTTTGCTATGCAGAAGGACGTAAGCGAGACACGCCAATGTAATGTACTGATATCCATGCGATCCTTTATATCTTAAGGTATACGACTACTTGCGACAACATTTTTTTTTGAAAAAAAGGAGATGTGGAGATCTTTTTGTGAATTTATATTTGTTTAGTATATTTTAAGGAAAAAATCCTAAAATTGGTAAAAGAAAAAAAAATTATTATTATTAAAATGGGAAAAAATTAGTAAAAATGTACGAAAAATTACATAAACGGGGCCCGCTCTCTACAAAGATTTTATGAACAAATTCTCAATTTTTCAATTTTGATGTGTTACTTTGTTATTCCTGTTTGAAGTGACCTTC